GCTGAGGCGGAAGGATCGCCGGAGCCCAGCAGGTTGAGGCTGCGGTGGCCAGGAGCGTGCTACTGCCCTCCAGCCTGGGCGACAGAGTGAGACTCCAACTCAAAAAAAAAAAAAAGCAATACAACTTATCCAAATTTGGGTGGTGCAGCTAAATCAGTGCTCCAAGAGAAACGTATAGCTATGTAATATCAGAACATATTAGTAGTTATATATTCTGGTTATATACTAGTTCTATAACAATGATTTATGATTCCACTTGAAGAAACTAGAAAATGAACAGCAAAGTAAATACAAAGTTAGTAGAGTGAAGGGGATAACAGAGCAAATGAAATGGGAAACAAAAGAGGAAACATTTAGCACAAGCCACTTTTCGCTGCAAAGTTTTTTTTACCCAAGTAAAAACTTCAAAACGCCACATTCTTATACCTCCATAAAAGAAAGTGGCTTTGGATCCAACCATTCTTTGGAGCTCTTGAACTTGGGAAGTGTGCCAGTTATCAGATCATCACTGTCTACATTTTTCATTGTGGTCACAAATAACAGAGCCCCTAGAAAAACTAAAAATCAGCTTATTTAGTAACGAAAATTCACAATCGTCTTATTTTCTCTTCTGTTTAGCCATCAGTACTTGTGTCCCTGAACGCACGTGGCGTGGATTTTGAACGTTTTAGCCACCCAGCGACCCCTTGGTAAGCAGAGGAGGTGCTAGCCTCCTTGGTAAGCAGAGGAGGTGCTCTTTGAACGAATCCCCCACCCCTTGCCTTCCACGTCCTCCTACAAAGCCTTCTTCAAGCCAGCGTGGCAAGCTCGTCGGGCTCTGGGAGTCCCACTGCAGCAGTGCCCCGACTTCGGAGGCCGTGAAGCGGGGAGTCCAACGTTCTGGCTACAGAAACAAACAGACTGAGCTGCTCAGAGAAGCAAGGGAGGGGCTTTGGGTCACCACGTGCCCGACTTCGAGCTCTGAGGCCCGAGCCCTCCCCAGGGCCCGCTGTGGGGGAGGAGGGGTCGTGAGTCTGCGCCTGTCCTGCGCGCGCGGCAGCTCACG